GGGGGGGGCACGACCGGCGGCGGGACCGGTTTGGGGCACGGCGTGACGACCGTACTTACACGCGCGTGTGCTTCCGCCCTGGGGGCCCCTTCACGCGCGAGCTGAGAAGCTCATGTGCCCTCCCATCGCGCGGAGGAAGTTCCCTGCCGGGGGGGGGGAGGGAAGAGAGAGCGAGGTCCCTCGCGGGCAGGCTGAAGCCGGGTTCGCCCGGGCTGGCCCGCTAGACCGCGCCATTTCCCGGAGCGCCCCTTCCCCTGGCTCCTGTCACCCCGCGCGCACTCCTGGACGCACCCGGCCGGGTGCGCCCTAGTCATTGGGGTGGTGGCGGTCGAGGTGATCCCGGCCTACCAAGGAGGGGTTCCGTGCCATGCGTGGGGTCGTTGCGCGGGCTGGCCCAGGCCGTCTTGCGGCCGCGGGAGGGGGGGGGGGGGGGGGGGCGGGGGTCGGTCGGGGCGATCGACCAAAGTCACTCTCTTTGCGTCGGGCGCGCTCGCTGGGCCTGGTGCCTGGGCGCGCGCTCCGGCCCGAGCCGGCCGCCCTGCCCCCCTCCCCCCGGGCAGCTGCACCACGCGCCCCTTCCCCGAAGAGACCAGTTTTCTCGGGACAACGCCCGCCCCACTGGCCATTCCCTGGCGCGCCCGAGCTCGGTTGCCGGGGCAGGGTGGTGCGTCTCAGGGGGGGGGGGTGGCATGCGCGGACGGAAACGGCGCACCCCGCGCCCATGTACGCAAGTCTACGTGTGTATGTGTGTGCGCACCCCGATCCCTTGGTGGGCCCCGCCCGGCCGCCAGCCGGCGCCTCCCAGGGAGAGAGGCAAGCCGGGCCCGTTCCCACGCCGATGCCGTGCGTGGGATCCCGGCGCCGGCCACTGCGGCGCAGGAGGGCGAGGCCCCGGCGTCGGGTACCCCCCCCCCCCCAAAAGAGGCACATAGCCGGTCGCCCTCCGGGCCCCCGGGGCCGAGTCCCATCCACTTCCCCACAGGACGTCCCTTCTCTCTCCCCCTCCTGGAATTTGACCGTCCTTTCACCTGATCCCCTCCCCCCCCCCTCCTCTCCCCCTCCCCTCCCCTGCATCCTCCTCCTCCCCCTCTCTTTCGATCATGTCGAGTGTCGTCAACCATAACGCCACGATGGTGCATGCCAGCCCGTCGACCCGCCTGCGCCATGCCCGTTCCTCCAACCCCACCACCACCCTGGGGCATCTGGCCTCGCTGGACTGCACGGACTTCATGGCCGCCTCTGGCCCTGGCAGCGACAAGCTGGCCGCCGCGTCGGCCACCGCCGCGGCCATTGTCGCTGGCAGCCCGGCCGACGGCGCCGCTGCCACCACCACCGACGCCGCTCCCGGCACCCCGCCCGTCGTGCAGGAGAATGTCCACGCCCGCCGGACCTCCATCATCTGCACCATCGGCCCGAAGACCCAGTCCGTGGAGAAGCTGGCCTCCCTGCGCCAGGCCGGCATGAACGTCGTCCGCATGAACATGAGCCATGGCTCGTTCGATGTGCGTGCCACGCGCCCGGCTTTCCGTTCCCCTGGCAGCTTGCCCCTTTGCTGGCCTCTCTCTCTCTCTCTCTGCCCCCGTCCACCTCCCCTTGCCCCAACCAGCCCGACTTCCACTGACCGCCTCGCCCACACGCTCGGGCCCCACGCCGCCACAGTTCCACCAGGCCACTATCGACAACACCCGCCAGTCGGACAAGCTCATGGACGAGATGGCCCGCCCGGTGGCCATCGCCCTGGACACCAAGGGCCCGGAGATCCGCACCGGCGAGCTGGCCGACGGCATCGACGAGGTGACCCTGACCTCCGGCGAGCAGGTGGTCGTGTCCACCGACCGCGCCAACATCAAGCGCGGCTCGGCCAGCCTGGTCTTCATTGACTATCCCAACCTGGCGCGTGTGGTGCTGCCCGGCTCGCCGATTTACATCGACGACGGCCTCATCTCCCTGCAGGTGGTCACCGTGGACTCCCCGAACCCCGGGGATGTCACCTGCACCGTGGTCGATGGTGGTGTTCTCTCCAACCGCAAGGGTGTCAACCTGCCCGGGGCTCTGATTGATCTGCCCGCCGTGTCGGACTACGATCGCGAGTGCTATGCCTTCGCCGTGCGCAACAATGTCGACATGATCTTCGCCTCGTTCATCCGCAAGCCGGCCGACGTGGCCGACATCCGCATGTGCCTCGGCCCGGAGGGCCAGCACATCAAGATCATCGCCAAGATCGAGAACCAGGAGGGTGTCAACAACTTCGATGAGATCCTCGATGCCGTCGACGGTGTCATGGTGGCCCGCGGTGATCTCGGCATTGAGATTCCCCCGGAGCGTGTGTTCCGCGTGCAGAAGATGATGATTGCCCGGTGCAACATCGTCGGCAAGAGTGTCATCTGCGCCACGCAGATGCTTGAGAGGTATGTCCGGTCCCTGTCCGATCTCTCTCTCTCTCTCTCTCTCTCTCTCCCTCTTTCGCTGGCCCGCTGTGCAGGTGCAATGGGAGGGAGCTCAAAAGGGGGCCGCACTCTCCTTCCGGCTTCTCTCCGCCTCCACATGTCTTGCCGTCGCCCTGTTGCTGCACCTGTCTGCATGTTATCAACCGTGAGAGCCCAAGTCTCGCTGTTTGTTGCTGAATCCGCCCACTTACCTCTCTCTCTCCCTCCCTTCCCCGCGCCCCCTCCCCTTCCCATCTCTCCCTCTTCCCATCTCTCCCTCTTCCCCTCCTTACTCTTCACACAGCATGACCACCAACCCCCGCCCCACTCGTGCTGAGGTCTCCGATGTGGCCAATGCCGTCCTCGACGGTGCCGATTGCGTCATGCTTTCGGGTGAGACGGCCAAGGGCAGCTACCCCATCGAGGCCGTGCGCATGATGCACCGGATTTGCATCGAGGCCGAGCTGGCCACCTTCTCCACCTCCTTCTTCAATGAGCTCCGGCTGCTGACCGCGCCGAACCCCTTCTCCGGGAATGGCACCCCCGGCGGCCCGAGCCAGTCCTTCGCCGAGACGCTGGCCTGCTCGGCCGTCAACGCCGCCCTCGAGCAGCCCAACATCGGTGCCATCATCGTGCTCACCGGCAGCGGCGATACCGCCCGCCTGGTGTCCAAGTACCGTCCCCGGTGCCCGATCATCACCATCACCCGCGAGGCGCGCGTTGCCCGGCAGGCGCACCTGTGGCGCGGGTGCTTCCCGCTCCTGTACGACCGCGGCCGCATCTCCCCCGGCGCCGTGTCCGGCGAGCAGTGGCAGCTGGATGTCGATGCGCGCATTCAGTTCGGCATCATGAAGGCCAAGACCATGGGCCTCCTGAGCTCTGGCATGATGGTCATCGCCATCCAGGGCTGGAAGAGTGGTGTTGGCCACAGCAACACCATGCGTCTGCTGGTGGCCCCCTAAGCGGCGTGTGCTTTTCCAAGCCCGAGGGGCGCCTTTCCCCCGCGCCACCGCGCAAGAGGCTGGCTCCGGGGGAGGGACCCGGGAGGAACCACCTGTACATCCATGTGTGCGCAGTCCTCCGACGTGACGCTCCCCCCCCCC